CACCGGTTAGTGATGCCATAAACCCACATTTCTCAAGGTGGATATGTTGCTCTGATAAACCTGGGTGGCGTTAGATTTTATAATATCCGTGGCACTTTCAGGAGGTGGATACCAGCGTCTGCGTGCTCACTTGTATGGCTCCCTGCTGTACTACCTTCAAATCGCCCAGAAGCCGGAAGAACCAGACACTCTGCAGACAGGTACAACACGGATGTCTGAATTCTGTAGGACAGTTTTCTTTTTAACAGATAACTCTTCAGAGAACTGAGAAAATCTTCCTCTCCAGCAGGGAAAGCAATGTGGGAGCGTCTCACAGCCCCCGAAGACGGTTTCTCCAAACTGCAAAGAGAGAACCTCGCCATCATTGAGAGCTACGGAAAGGCGCTCATGGAGGTTGTGTGTCGGGACGCCTGCGACGGCCATGAAATCAGCCGGGTAAGAAACAACGTTATGGAATTAAGTATTCACGAGAAACAATTAGTCTAAAGACCTGAGAGTAAGGCCTTCCTGTATTGGTTTCACACTCTGCAATTGCTTTGTCTCCTCCTCCTGACGGTCAGATGTTGGCTCTGGCGGTGCTCGACCGGATCCTCTCCATCGACCGCCAGAACCAGTGGCTGGTTTACGTCTGCAACAGTGGCTACCTGCGGTCGCTGGTGGAGAGCCTGAGGCAGGACGACGCCGCGCTGCAGAGCCTTCTCGCACCTCAGCCGCCACTCCTCAAACCACTCTACATTTATGAGAGCAAGATGGTGAGCGCAAAACAAACAACCCAAAAGTAGACCGGTAACTTCAATCCAAAGCCTCTGTAAGTGCAGGATTTTAAAGGCCGGACCTCTGCTGTGTTCTCAGGCTCTGCTGACTCGTGTGGCTAAGACGGGTCAGGGAGCGGTGGAGCTGCTGCGCTGTGGGCTGGTGGCCCAGCTGATAGAGTGCCAGTGTTCGACATGGTACCTGACAGCGATGCACACAAGGTATGGAAGTGAAGAGTGAGGGAAAGTGTGTTTTTATTACTGGGGAAAAAATGTAGCAATCAAGGGTTTTCAAATTGATAATTTAGGATTAAAATGCACCAAACATGATTTGGTTTCTTCCATTATTATTATGTCTTGGGTTTGTAATTCCTGACTAAAGCAACACAAAAGCGGGCCAGTTATTATAGTGAGTGAGTGATCTTCCTCAAAAGAATTGTTCAGATGACGTCTATTCTTACGATGTCTCTTGTTAGCACCACCTTGATCTGTGTTTGCTGGTGGTCCACAGGATGATGAGGGACCCGTCAGGCTTCATCCCCAGCCCCATGGACCGCTACAGACAGATTCTCCTCCCCACCCTGAGGCTCTTTCAAGTGATTTTGACCTCTACAACAATGAACCACCAGCAGGGGGCGGCACAGGTAAACACAAGACTATCACTAAAGCCTAGTTTTCAGAGCGACGCAAGGAAACGCAGACGCAAGAGCCCCTTGCGTGTCCCTTGCGTCCCTTTTCACACCTCCTTGCGTGTGTCAACCCATTTTTCTAGGCTTGCGTCAAAAGGGACGCAAGCCTCCCGCAGCGTACTAGGCTTTCGATTGGTCCGCTAACTACATCCTTTCCGGAGTCTCACATTTCCGTTTTCATAGCACAATACCACCGTTATTAAAACGAAGAATGTTTACGAGTGAACGGATCTGATTGAAGAGCTTTTGTCGGAATAAATGCGTAAATATGACCCCTTATACAAGCCGTCATTGGCGGGTTGTATACGCGGGTTGGATTCATGGAGGGAGATCGCCGCAAACGCGGTCGAGAGGTGCACAAAGTTGTGGAGGAAAATACGGGACAAATGTGTCCGCGATGAAAAGCAGCAGTGGCGATGCACGGGGCAATAAAGTCTATGATAAATAAATAAACTAACAACTTCCACACACAAAGACGTGACTCTAGGTAGTCAGAAACACGTTACTCCACCTGTTGTGCTCTGCAACACACGCAATACTTTTAGAACCATGAATTGAAACAAGTGCGTTGATACAACTGCGCAGAAGCATGCGCCAGCCTTAACGATGTTCATTACATCAAACGTGAACGTTACGTTAACTTTGTCATTTCTGTCTGTGTGTGTTTGAGTCTAGGTTCTCCAGTGGCTGATCGTGCACGCCGACACCATCCAGTCGCTGTTGCGCTGTCAGGAGCTCAGTATGGGAGCTTTGCAGGAGCTCTCGTTGCTCACTGGCATCATCAGTAAGACTGCTTTGCCAGGTACAAGACTGCAGCCCCTCTTCCCTGCTCATTTACTTTGCTATCTATCTGATTTGTGCAGACCACAGGTTCACGTTCAGAATGGTGGTGTTCATGTGCGGCTTTGTCTCTCAGGTGCCCTTGAGACCGGCGGGGAGGTCAACAGTGCTGTTCTCATGGAGTTCCAGGGACACATCAACAGATTCCAGGTGAGCCCAGCTTCCCCTCTCTGCCCGTCAAGGGTCTTACTAATGCATTTTATTAATGCATTGCACGGTTGATAATGAGTCTGTTTATTCTTTCAGCGTCTCTGTCTGACGCTGCTCGGCCGCCTGGCGGGAAGCGAGCGGGAGAGGTTGCTGAAGCAGGCTGAGATCGCTGCACCTGGAGACTCGGCAGAAAGACGAGAGGAGATGGAGGTTGCCATGCAACAGGTCGGTCATGAAGTCTTCTCTAAATGAAATAGTGAGAGCTTTATGGTGGGGGGGGTGAGTCGTCTCCTCCTAGTTGGATTATACCAAGTACACCTTTTGCATGTTCCAACAGTAAAATGGACCCTAAAAATGCCACTGAGCTAACGTGTGTTGAGTCACGTATGCGCTGCCATGATTGTTCCTCAGGACTGCGTGGTCTGACCTGAGCGGTGCTGTCCTCTGTGTCCTTAGGTGTGTGCTAACATCATGGAGTACTGCCAAACGCTGCTGCTGCAGAGCTCCGCCCAGGCCCAGTTCAGCATCTGCCTCTTCAGCCCGTCGGGCAGCGAGCCAGCTGGCAGGGACGGAGGTCGCACAGGTCGGTGACGCTGCCAATACAAAGGACAATCCTCCTCTGTTTAAGAATGGGTCCTTAAACAAAACATAACCTGTTAATCAATTTCCGATAGCTGATAAGTAACATTTCCTTTTTAGCTTTTTAGCACAAATTGGCATTTCAAGTATGAGACTGAACCACGGCTCTGCTTTTCTTTTAAGATCTGTCCTCCACTCTGCCGTCAATGGCTTACTCCCGGGCCCCCAGCCTGGGTCTGGTCCTGTACCTGCTGAAGAACAGCACTGCAGATTTCTTCCGGTTCCACCAGAGTCACAGACAAAGCCTGGGCAAGCTGCAGACCCTGGATCAGCTGCCTCCTGAGGAGCTGAAGGAGGTAATGACGGACCGATACACTCGCCAGACCGCTGTACATTATAGGCACATTTTCGAAGTGGAGGCAAACAAAAGCCTGCATTGTCCAGAGTTGTAACCACAGGCGTCTTTCTGTAGTTGTGCCAAGGCCTGGTGTTGGGCCCAGGAGGGGTGGAGAAAATCTCATCCGTCCAGAGGAGCTTACTGGCCAAGAGACGACTGGTCCAGCTGATCAACAACAGAGCCAAGCTGCTATCCCTGTGCTCCTGTATCCTTTGGCCCTTTGAAGGCACAGCGTTAGTCACAGGACTCTCCTATCGTCCATCAGTATTCAGTTCCATCTATTTTGCCTCAGAGGGCTTTACAGTCTGTAGACATGCAACATCATCTGTCCCAGAACCATCACATTGACATGAGAGGAAACTCCAAAAAAACGAGGATGAAAATCTTCTCATCTTTATTTTTTTTAACTAGCTAGACATGTACCACATGTTGAGTTGCCTTAACCTCCCTCTGCCTCAGACGTCATAGAGACCTGTTTGTTTGTGTTGTGGCGCCACCTGGAGTACTACCTGTTGCACTGCACTCCCACCGACCCCAAAGACTCCCTGATGCCCGGAGCCAGTTTGTATAGATCTCGCCTCACAGACGGTGAGAAAAAAATGCCACGTGTGCACAAGTAAAGCGGGCGTCGCACAATGAGCAGAAAGCTCTCACGCGAAGCTTTGTGCACTTCATTAATTTTTCTTTTTCAGACTCGTTTGGCGGCTTGCAGGCAAGTGGAGGTCGTGGCATCAGTTTATCCAGAGTCAGCCGACAGGACTTGGACCTGGTAAGCGATTTGCCCGCTGAGCATCTACAACGCCTGCAAACATTGTGTGTATACTTAATGTGTTCCTGATGCCGCTCGTCCGCTCTGTGTGTGACTGCAGCTGAAGAGCGACATGGCGGTGGGTTTCGGAGAGGCTCTGCAGAGGAAGCTGCTGGAGGTGGAGGGCCTGTACAGCCAGGTGCGATCCCGCTACACCTTCATCCAGGCCCTGGTGCGCAGGATCCGCGGCCTGCTCAGACAGCCCAAAAGCTGAGACGCACAACAAAGACTGTCCAAAAATCTGTTTCATATCGACTCGACTGTTGCCAAGCAACACCAGAAAACTATTGATTCAAACATCGTCAGGTGGTTTTTGCTGAGATCATTACTCCTTTTCACTGACCTGTTGCAGCTCCTCTTGACTATTGTGAGATTCAAACGCCATCTCAGCACAAGGTGTTCTCAGTGACTTATCCTAATTTTGTTTAACTAGCGCAACATGCTTAAAGTTTTTACTCAAGATAATGTGGTTTTCTTTGTGAAAATAAAATTTTTCTTAATCTGTTAAATACTTGTTATTATCTGTCTCTATGCACTGAGGTGAGGATAGTTTATACTGCGATTTAAAAAGGTTCTTCCTGATTGACTCAACACCATTTTGTAACAGCTTACTCGTCTTGAATCGACAACTTTCACTTTTGTGCACGTCTGCCTCTGACTTGTTGCGAGAAGCGAAAGAAGGAACCAAAACAAGACCTTGTTCTGTGAAAGAAGCATCATTAGTGTGGGACCAGAGGTTGCACTTGTATTAATGCTTGTCTTATCAAATACAACAGACACACATAGCATATTTAATCTTTTTATTTTAAGGCGCACTTTTTATAAGATTGTAAAGTGCGTTGATCCTCAAATGTCAGAGGGGATGAGGACAAAGATCTGGATATACATTCAGAGAGAACTTTTGTGCTCTTATTATTTGAAGAGTTAGAAAGGGGAACAAATGAAGAGGGGAAGGACTCCGGTGAGCACAGGGGGAACTCCGTGTGAATGAACACGGCCCGTCTACTGGAGCGAGTCGATGGGTTAGTGGAGAAACTGCGCTCAGAAAAAGTCCGATCAACCTACTTTGTTTCCTCAATGGAACAAATGTGTGCTACTTCTAAATAGACCATGTTCATCATACTCTATAAATTACTTTAAATAAAATTACAGCATTAAAAAAAAAGTACATTATTTAGGCCAGCTTTCTTGATCCGTGATTGTTCTGCGTTGGCTTTTCATGGAGAACCTGATGGTGCCGGTTCATCTCCCTTTCACGTGAACGTCCTGTCGTTCATTAAGCAGGAACATTCATCCTCATCAGGTCAGAGTACACAGGGTTGCAGTGTGCCGTTTCACTCCTAGTTCGGTTTCTAAAGCCCCCCCCCCCCCCTCACACAACGATGTCACTATGAAGGCCTCATGAAAGATGCTGCTAAATTGCATTGTGGGAATTCTAGGCTCCAGTTGGCTTATACTCAATTTCTGCAAGGTTATCACAGCCTCTGCTGCTTCGATGTTTAAAATATAAAATCTCCATGATTGATGCCTGCTTTGGATGGATGCCGAAATATTAAAAACCAGTTTGATTGGCAAACTAGTTCCATTGATGCATAGAAAACACTATGACCGATCAGCCTACGTGCATCCAGAGTTTGAAAAGCATTGGCTGGACGAGGGAGATGAGGTCATTGTTTTCCAACCACATAATTATTTTTCACAGCTTCAGAACCATCTTAAGCAAAGACCGGGGAACATACTGTAAATACTTATGTCTTCTATGTTATCAACAAAAGATTGATTTATGTACATAACACAAATGTTCCTTTGTGTAAATGAAACACTTATACTGTCCACAGACTTGCATTACAGCACCAGCAGACTTAGTTTTGCTGTAGTTCACATCCTGTACAGGGAGCCGCAAAGCGTCCGTGGTGCTCCACTAGCTCAAGAGGAGCCGCCACAGATGAGTCTATAAAAGACGTTCAGTTGTCCTAACGGTCTCCAGTTTGAGGGACGTCGATCACTCCTGAAGCCCCTCTGCTCTAGTGTTGATTGCACTAGTCGTGTCCTTTAGTCATCCGGCACAGTTCCAGCAGTGAATCAGAGCGTCTTTGAATGCGTCTAAGAGAGGGGGGGGGGGGGGGAAGGGGGGAAACACGAAAAAGTGGCAAGGTAGGGCGGCTTCTCCAGCACTGTTTGTCCGTCCGTCCGTCCGTCCGTCCGTCCCCCACACTTGTCTTCAAGTTCAAGGACAGTACGGAGAGTGCGCTTCTATACTTAGTGCATTTACTACACGTCTGCACCTCTTGTGTCTCTCTCTCTCTCTCTCTCTCTCGACCCATCCAGCAGCCGTCTGCTAGTGGAACACGCGCCCTTATGAGCTATCGCTGCCCCCTTCTTGCGAGTTGTTGTCCGTCACGCCGGCGCTGCCGCCGTTGGTCTGAGGGCACTCGGGCACCTCTCCTGTCACCGCCACTCGAATCACTTTCAGCCAGCGCTGCTTGAGCTCCTCACTTTCGGCGGCAAAGTTGTGGATGGACTTGGACTGGGAGAGGCGGAAGCTGGCCGGGGGGTCCGTGGTCCGGGCGCCGTCGTCCACACAGTAGCCCAGGAGGGGGATGGTGCACTGGGCCTTCACGTCCTGAGGAGAAGATCAGGGATTTAAAAAAGGTTGCACATTGGGGGGGGTGGGGTGGGGAGACATTTTCCCCTTCATGCGTTGTACCTGCGGAGCGCCGTAGAGGTAGAGCACCAGACCCTCCTTCTCGGGGATGACGCCCCACACCTTCTGCCAAGGTTTGTTCTTCTCGCAGTACTGCAGGAAGCCGCACATGATGCTGCTGCCTGTGATCTGAGCCGCCTCGATCTGCACAGCGAGGATGAAGGCATTATAGCAGACAGACTTCTGCACGGGTACACGCACAGATGTACGCCTCAGCATCTCCTCCTCACCTCCAGGATGCCCTTCTTCTTGCCCTCGGATCTCGTCTCTCCCGTGAGGATGGAAAAGCAGTCTCTGCAGACTTTGTTCGTCTTGTTGCCGTCATACTGAAGCGCAACCTTGTTGTCTGAACATTTCCAGCACACCACCTGCAAGAGAAGAAGAAGAATTTTAGAAAAGGCTTTTTTTAAGCATCATTGAATCAAATGTGACTATGTACGTATGGCAATGACTGTTATGTCTGACTATTATTAGTTGATGTATTATCTTAATTAAAAGCATATTTGGGGCATTTTTGCTTGATTAGCAGCAGGAAGCTGGAAGAAAATGACACTCGACACGTCAGGTGTTGCATAGTGACGCATGTGGGAACGCAAGTTCCCACATGCGTCACTTCAGGTGAAAAAGTCTCATTCAAAAGCAATCAGGGTAGACGGTGTATTTTTCAGACATTTCTTCACATTTGATGCTCTGAATGTTTAAAGACTTACATAACCGCAGGCTCTGCAGTGGTGCCGCCGCCGCGTCAGAGCATTGAAAGACTCCTTGCACTTCATACACATCGTCACTTCGTTGTCTCGGATCCAGCGAGGGGCCCGCTTCCCCAGCTCTGCATTCTGGATTAAAAAAAAAAAGACGTATATATATATATATATATATATATATATATATATATATATATACACACACACACACACACACACACTGAGTAGGACGGCAGAGAGCGGTGAAGGTTCATCCGCCCATGCAGCTCGGATGTGACACTGACCGACACTTCCTCCACGTCTTTCAGCGCGTTCTTGAAGGACTCGTTTTTCTGCTGGAAGATCTCGATGGTCTCCTGGAAAGCCTGCAGGACAAAGACAACATTAGACTCTTGTGTTACTCATTCGACAGGGAGTTTAAAAACACACGTGGTCAAATAAGAAAAGAAAATAGTATTTTGAACGTGTATTTACCTTAATCCAGTCTGCCTTGTCCTGCTCAGAGCTGCGAAAGATAAAACCATAAGCATTCAAACCTGTTTATGCAAGTTTATCGGCTTGTAAAACACCAGGTCTTACCAACACAGCACTTGTCAGTCAACGAGTGTTTAGAGATTCGTAGGAGTTTGGGTGTGCTCATGAGTGGTTTTCCAAATGTGGGAGGGGCTACGATGTTTCTGCCGTTTACAGAGTTTTCCCGTAAATTGTACCTGGCCTGTAGCTCCAGCATCCTCTCCTTTCCCGACACTTGGAAGGTATGAGGGTAGTCCTCGTTGGACGTTTCCAGGACCTTCATGCCGTCGATGCCGATCCGCGTCCTCACCGTGTACTTGGTGCCCCCCAGGCTAAATTTGGGCACGCAGTACAACAGCATGTTGTTGAACTGGCGAGCAAAAGAAGCAAAAAAAAAATAAGTTTTCGTTGTGCACGGATCAGCGCTTTGGCAGTTGAGGCTCTTGGCTTCCGTTGAAGGCGGCGTTCAACGCTGCAGGTAACCTGAATTACACAGACGGGAGACATTGGGCCTGAGGCGAATAAAAAAAACAGCCCGGACGTAATCACATCATCTGGCAATCCCAGTAATTGAGAGATGCGTTCCGAACGCAGCGGTGTTGCCAGAAGGAAATTATTCACTCCTTTTTAAATTGCCCAAGTCTCGCCTCGGCACGTTTGCTCTCATTGGATAAGAAGAGGCCTCCATTCCCTCACCAGGAAGAGGTATCGCTCCATGGCCGAGGTGTTCCTGGCCGCCAGCTTCAGGATGTGGCCCTCCTTGATGAACTCGTTCGAGGGGTTGACAATGTCTTCCTCCTCACCCAGCATCTCGTATATGTCCATCAGTTTCTTCAGATTATCCTGAAGGAGGACGGGACCATTATGTTTAGCTGGACGTTAATGTGTCTGACATATTCCCTCCGTTTAATTGTGAAAGACAACAAAAAAAGGTTTAAAAACGTCTTTACTTACAGATTTTCGAATGGCGCTGTTGGAGTGAGTAGCTGCTGTCGCGATAATTTCTAATGATTCTGTGGGGGACGGAGAGCGGTTACCTCAACAATGAAGTGAAATTCTACAGTGGGAACACTGAGCGTCTAGACTTACTCTCTGAATCCCGCCGGTCAGGGTCGTCCTGAGGCAGCTTCTTCAGGTAGTCTTTGAGCAGCATCTCGTAGCGAGGGACTCTCTGCACGGGCTCCAACATGTGGTGCTGAAGCGCCAGGAAGCCACAGACCTCCTGGCTCTTTTCAGGAAAAAACCCAGAAACTACAATTACCGTCTCAGCCAGCCCACCAGGCTGCATTTTACATCGCTCCGAAGTTCCAGCATGTATCCGATTACACAATTTCACAACATTTCTCTGGAGTGGAATTGGGCGCGCAGTACCTGGATCTCCTGGATGATGGCCTTGAATTGAGGCGAGCGGTCAGTCCACTGTTTCAGCAGCTCCATGGCCTTGTCGAAATTCTTCACGTACTCGGCGTACATCTTGAGGAAGGGTGTGAGTTTCTGCAGGATGTCTCCGATGCGAGGCGTGGACTCCCTGTGGGGGAGAGAGAGAGAGAGAGAGAGACAATTAAGAAAGAGTAAAGTGTAGTGTTTGAGTTTGATTTGTTGTAACATTTATTTTATTCAGAATAAATCATCCTCATGCTAATGTGTACAGGACTTTGTGGCATTCATTACAGGCTGCAGCTCACCATTCTCCCATGCGTTTCTCCAGATCTGGAAGCAGAAACTGGCTGTGAAAGGCGTTGATGGAGCTGATGTTTGAGAAGATGTTCTTCACTACCTCCACAGGGAATGTGCCTTTGTTTGCCTCCTCCATGAGCTTGGCACAGAATACCTGCATACACAACGCAGACAACTGGTAAGTGACGAATTATTGGAGCAGTTCACAAAGCTCTCCCTCGCTGCGTTTAGTGAGCCTTCCCATGAGAAACGGTCTGGAAATACAGAAGTGAACTGTTGCGGTCGACGCGGAGTTCCTCACCTGGTCCAGCAGGTTCAGTCGCGTCACGTAGGCCTTCTCTGTGTGCAGGAGCTCGCTGGCGATCTTAAACAGCTTCTGTTCATTGGTCTCCTGAAAACATTAATCGGGAGTCTTACAAATCTGGTGATAGATAAGTGAAGTATTAAAGACCGTAAGCAAGATTATTCGGCAAGTTCCCGTTTGGTTGAGCCCACCGAGCTCATCGACGTGTCGCGTTTTCTGCATTTCAGCTATTAAATGCTCACTGTGCATCGTGCATTTATTCCAGCTGGACGCGTCAGTGACTCATCTACCGTTTTGGGCGCAGCCTCGTGTTGAACCTCGTCGCACTGTTGCTACGTGCAGCAGAATGTAGCACTGGCGTGTGTGTGTGTCCTTAACACTGAGCTGATGCTCAAGTACGGAAGAGAGGAAATGACACAAAATCAAACAAAGACACGATTAAGCCCAGAGCTTAGTGTGAGAGGCCGGTGAAACAAACAATAACTGTGGCCTACATAACATCCCCCACGTGTGCTTATGGGATACATGTGTGTGTTTCAGTTGCCACCCACGCCAGTTTACTCCCCCAATGACCACAGAGGCGGAACCCCTCTCACTGTATGAGTATTTAACCACAAGGACGCAAATGATCTGACAACAATCGGTCTTGTCAATACATCCATGTGCTGCACATGGTAAGCGTTTACAATGGCACCGATGAAGAGGAGATCAGCATGGAGAGAAGTAGTTGGTTGTCTGGTTCCCTCCTCATGTTTCACATCTCTCAGTCAGTTGTTGCAACTGCTCAAAGCCCTCACCCCCCTAAAGAACTGCAATATTCCACATAAAATGAAACTATTAGAAAATAAAAACTAAAAAATGATTGCGTACACAAACTTAGCTGTTCAAGCGTACAATGTTTGAGCTGAATTAGTGCAGAAGATTTCATTGTGCTGAACCCCGGCACAGAGAGTGCCGGCCGACCTTTCGGAGGCAGCGGTGGAGCTTTGAATAGGCACAGGTCACTCGGGGTGAAGGGTCACCAAGCAAACGTACCTTTGGTTCGGTGCTGCCTTCTTCGTTCCTAAGCTCACTTTCTATTTTAGTCCCACTGTCGTCGTCCTTCTCATCCCCCTCCTCCTTCTCCTCCTCCTCTTCTTCCTCCTCTTCCTCAGCACTTCCTGCAGCAGTCCTTTCCGTTTGCGGAGGTGAACCACCGCCGGTCGGTTCTGCGCTCCTGCGACCCTCGTCCCCGTTCACCAGCCCGTCGGCCTCCGTCCCCACGCCGTTCCTCTCCGGGACGCCCGCCTCCTCCTTGCCCTGCTCCATCCGAGCTAGCGTCCCGTTAGCCGACGCCGGCGTGCGGGCATCCTCCGGCGAAGCTGGCTCGGGTCGGTCCTCCCGAGTCCCGGCGGGCTCCGTGCGCCGCGGGGAGGCGCGGGGAGCCGCGCTGCAGTCCAGCGACCTGCTGATCTGCTTGAGCGGCGAGCCGTCTCTCTTGTTCTCCGCGCTGCTGGAGGACCGGAGGGGGAGAAAGGAGGAAGATGGTCAAGAGAGCAAAAAAACAAACAAAAACAAAACAATAAATAAAAAGTAGAACACAATAAAAAAAAAGGACAGGAGCCGCTTCAGCGGCGCGCTGGTCGGGCCGCGTGGACACAGTGAGTCGGAGAGCAGATGGCTTTTACGAACTAGTGTGAGAGTTAAAAATAAAACCGTGGACATGCACACACTTCCTTCTGAGGCTGCTGAGGGCCTGTGCACCGCCGCAGAGGAAGTGTGTGTGTGTGTGTGTGTGTGTGTGTCGAGCAAAGAGAGTAATGAGGAGGTGCACGCTGCCCCACGAGTGGTATATTATATTATATTATATTATAATGTCTCTACCGGTCTTCGCCTCAACGTGAATAAAATGAAACCGGTCGGATCGCAGCTCGTGAGCGCAAATTCGATCACAAAACACAAACACGCCGCTGGTTCGCCTGCACAATGTCACCGTTCAGCCGCTGTGCTTCCTGCACCGGTAGTCAGTCCAGCTGTTTCCCCGTTAGCTGCACCGACCTCCGGCAGCCGCTGCACATCTGGGCTCGCTTCTGTTGCAACACGGGTCAAAGAATAAAAATAAAAAAATACATACGGATACAGGCTAAACTGAAGGCACGTGCTATTTCGCGCAGAAAAGAAACAGATGATCGAGCCGTGTGGAACCGGTCGGCCGTGCAGGTGATTCCCCGCCTGTGCGTCGCTGTCCGGTGGAGCGCAGCGACGAGCAGACGAGTACGCAGACTGAAACAGGAAGCGCGTATAAATAGAGGAACAGCGAGAGGCCGGTGAAACACTTCGTTTCGGATTATTCACTTCTGGGACGTTGGGTCACCTGAGCGCGCGATTACCACCATTTAACCATTTACAGCGCAGGTGCGGCTCCTCTGCGCGTATAAACGGCGCAGTACGCGCTGCGCTGCATGACGGGGCTTTTAAAACGAGAATTAAAGAGCGCCTTCGGTTGCCATGTGGCGATCCTTTGAGGTGCCTTCAAGTGCCATGTGAACGGGATTAGTATACAAGGGTATTTCTGTTCTCTGGGGGCGTGTCTCTCCGCTGGGGGGGGTCTAATCCCCACCGAGTCTGAATGGAAGGGAAACACCCTCACGAGTTCACCGATTAACCTCATCAACACTGGAAATGTGACCAAAAAAACAACAACTGTGGCCAAAGCCCTGGTTGGAGTTGGATTTTGTAACTGTTTGCAGGGATCCAGGCTCCAGTGGATGAGTTTTGAATGTGAGGACCACTGGAGACCGAAGACACAGAGTGACATTCTTGTGGGCAAGTTTCTGCTGCGGATCGAACATTTTTGGGCTCCACTGTACAAGCAGCAGGGACAAGGGAACCATTGTTGCGCCTCCTGCTGCTCTCACTGGGCCCCTCTCGCGCAAACAGAGCTGCAGCGTGTAATAAATCAAGCCGGTAAGCCGTGTAAATATTCTTCCCTGCACCCAAATGAAAATGTAACTTTTTAACAGATTAAAAGAGTAAAAGCACATAACCCCCCCCCCATGGAGACAACAATTTCAAAGTAAAGGCGCTGCCATTGAAACCCGTCCGAGAGATCCTACCTCATGCTCCTGGGCTTCATCTCGCCACACAGAGTCTGTCCCACAGCCGACTGAGGCGCAAATCTCCTTTCATCCCCCGTGTGCCAAACCCAGCGGGCTAATCTCGTCTCATCCGGTCTACGGGTCTCGACTACGCTGCTATCAGTGAGTCAGGCTGAAGACAACGTATCCACGAGGGACTTCTGCTTTTCAACACCCCGAAATAACCGGCAATAGGAAACGTTAGAAAAGACAAAGTTTTCCGTCACCGCGGTTACGACAGCCCCGAGTGAGGTTGTGTTGTTACAAAAAGCCATTTAGCGGCGTCGATGGGAGTTATTCAGCCGGAACCAATGTGCCATGTTTTAAGGAAAGGAAGGAAGAAGAGAAATTAAACACAATGCCGGTCACTATGCAATTGCACTGACTAACATCAGTCACCCTAATAACATTTTTTTTTCGGCTTCTATTCTCTTAATTGTTTCCCCTCTGAGAAGTGAAAGCAAACACACACACACACACACACAATAGAAAAGAGAGTAAAGAGCCCCTACCTGTTCTCTTCGAAGCGGTTGATGAGGTCTGAGACTTTGGAGTGTTTCTCTCTGACTTTTTCCCGGTTCACAGCTCCTCTCCCTCCCCCTCCTCCTCCTCCTCCTCCCTCCTCCATGCCTGCTTTTAGTGGTGCTCTCTGGAGGTGGCCCAGCGGGGATTTGACCTCCGTCACCGGGCTCTGGAGATGTAGCGGCTTTGGGGGCACTGCAGAGAAGACAGCGGTAAAAAGACTAAACATTAGAGACGATCTTTGGACGCTGGTAGACTGGTGGAGGATTTGTCTGGCATTCTTCCATTGAAGTCTCTGCAATATCGGCGTGGACCTGAAGGCGGCGGTATAAGCTACCCGGTTTCCAAGCGAGCGGTTTTACTGGTCTCGCGCCCATGTGTTAGGATTCACACTCCCTGCATGAAAGGCCGGTGCCGTCTCCCCCCTTATCTGTGTCGACTGATTCACTCAACTCAAACAACAGAAGGACAAGGCTCAAGGTGCACCGATCCTAGGCCACGTTACAGAGCTCCATTCCTGCTTCCCCGCGTTCTCCCTGGAGTCGCAGACCGGACTATCGTGGTTACCCCCTTGTATCCACGGCCCCCCTCGGGCCCTGCGGTGTTTCGGCCCGATGGCTGCCAGCCGTCGACGTGTACCTTTGGGTTTAGAAAGCTGCCGGGGCCTTCGCCAAGAGCCTCTTCCATTGACTCCCCCTCTGCTCTGGTCAGTCGTCCTGAGGCCCGCTCGACTCAGACACGCCTGCACGCTGGCCGGCTTGCTGCTCTCGCGCGCCGGGCTGCTGCCGAGACCTGAAGGACGGACAGACAGACAGACAGACAGACAGACAGACAGACAGACAGACAGACAGACAGACAGAGAGTATTACATCTCATCATCTTCCATTCAAAATGACCTGATGAGAAAAAGCTGGACCTGCTGGACACTGAACAACACTCATTTTAACCACTAAACGCTTTGGCGGGTCCATTGACGGACCCCCTGTCCGTCAATGGACACAGGCACCAATGTGGTTATTGTCCCCCGGATGACTGTGAGCTGCATCATCATCATCTTCATCTTCTTCTTCTTCTTCTTCTTCTTCTTTCTGGCACTTCTTAATTTACTACAGCATGATAATTACATCACGTTAGAACTCTCTAGTTCTCTCTAGAACTCTAGTAGTAAAATGGAAAATTTACTTACGGAAAATGTTTTCGAATATTTGACCTGCAGTAAGTGGGATTGCATTTATAAAAAGGAAGCTAAAAAAAACTAAAAAAGTGTGTCTCACACACTGAGAAAGACCTCCTCTGATATCTCCTCCCTTCATACGACAGGGCGTGCTCTACTTATCCATGGCTGCAAATACGCTTATAATAAACGGCTGCAGGGTAAATAATACAGGGTGTCAGACAGTTCAGTTGATTATCCAGCTGATGATCAGCTTTTAGCAGACCAGCTGGCTGCAGATGGCACAGCATCGGTGTTTGGACGGAGCAGACTGACTTAATGGCACGGCGGACACAGACCGGCAGTGTTTACGGCAGCCTGGATATAAACGTCTCTCTCTAAACCACACAGCACACACAAGCACATGCAAGTGAAACATGTCCACTTAAAAAGGCACATCTCCATGTATGGTGCTCTTATTGTTTCACAGGGTATTCGTCCATTAGTCTCCATTTAAGGTGGTCACCCAAAATGCGAGCGTGGGATTTAACAAGCGGCAGTGACGAGTCGGATGCAGAAATCGATGGAGCTTAGCGCGGATAACAAGTAGGAATAAACACTGAGTTAAGTGGAATAATAGTGTGGAGCTTAAAAGATACAGACTTACAATTGCAAAAATAAATAGCGAGTGCTCAGTTTTCAGTCGACGGACTGGAAGGACACGTCCTGCCCCTCGGTTTGATGCTACTACGAAAAGAGACATTTTCCATCCCCGTATAAATCATTGAATCAAGAGGTCTACATTCCTTAATAGGCACGGTCTCATGGCCAAAAATAGATCAAACTAAAAGCATCTGTGCTTTGAGAGGCACAAATGAATATCAAATTTCGGAAAAATTGTCTTCCGCTCTTCTGGACAATCGGGTCAAGACGCTATGAAACAATTAACAGATTAATCCATTCACATAAAACTCATCTAAAACTACTTTATTACTTAGTGTTGCCATGAAGTATATGAACAACAGTGAAAAACACAATAAATATATATGTAGTTGTCTAGATGCAGTTTGTTTACTGATATTTGGCTGGTTATTTATACACCCGACATTGATCTTTATCTCACTAGTCTTAAAACAGAAAGAGAAAAACAACCACAGAGTCACAGCTTCTGTTTTTACTGCCCAACCGTAATTAAAGACAACAGCTTGAGCAGAATGTATGAATAGAAACGGGCCCCATGCGGTGTTCTCTGAACATGGCCCCAAAATTACCAATCAATTCTGAAGTCTGCCTCCGGAATTTCTCTTGATCATGTGCTCGGCTTCGCCCCGTGGCCACATTAAGAGATCATAAGAATTTATCGAGCCTTGCAGCTGTACACATGTGGCTGGAAAGGAAGTCTCCGCCTGCGGATTGTGCTCCGCGTACGACATTTATCCTGGCAGGCTGCTTGGGGGCCCGACCCCCCGCAGCCCGGCTCTGCCTGCCTAGGGTTGTTATTAACGGCGTCGGCTTTAAATCACCGCGGTGCTGGACGCTTTCACTTGAACCGGTTACTGGGCAAGAAACGCACAGACAAAGACATTTGCGTCGAGATCAGATCAACAAGCAGCCGGTTCTGTTTCAGTACAAACAGGAACTTTACTTTCTCGGAAGGAAGTCTCATGCTCGGCAGGAACTGCAGCTCCCGCTAACACGCATTCTGGCGTCTTCTCATAATTAAAGCTGGCTCGGCTCAAGCGACAGGACGGTGTGAATTAGGAGCAGCCAGTCGCCATCCTGCAGGAACACTTCGGTTCCCCACCTCCGTCTGTGTGCAGCGAGGGAGACGCAATGATGTTAGAAACAAAAGATTTATCCTGAACAACGACTAGTTATGACAATGACTGAATACGCCAAGAAGTACTATAATATCTTTGTGTCCTCGCGACAAAAAGCTCTTAGTTTAGTTGACAGTTAATCTGTTTACGTAGAAACCGAAACAACATTGCCGCAGTCAAGGAAGCGTCGAATTGACGAGTCAAACCGAGACATTCGCCTCCCCGTCCTTGTTGGAGGATGCTCAGCCTTGCTGCCATGGCAACCAGCCCGTTGCTTCCTGAAGATGGACTTCCCCGCTGAGAGGGGCGAGCCTGAGGGCCTCTGCTTCAATCATCAATACATTTCAAAAGGGTCCTCTCAAAAGGTCAGGCAGAAGTGTAGCAGCGCAGATGAAATAAAGACCTGTGCTAAATGAACCAAGCCTCTTGTGAATTTCATCTTCACTTCTGATTGTGCCGGACAAGAGATGTCCGAGCAGACGCTACTCCTTTTTAAACAGAACCTGCTTTCTAAAAAAGCTTTACCTGACGACGGAATGCATCCTCAAAAGGTTTTCCAAGCAACAAAAATGAGGGAATCACTCCTAAAACAGTTTGTCTGCCGGCTGGCCGAGGTCAGTTGGTACTCGCTTCTTATTTCACATAGTTCAGTTCCTCGTGTGCGATTGTTCATCCCGCCCTGATCAGTTTCACCTGCATCCAATAAGCCCCCTTGTGCGTTTACCCCGCGTGCTGCTTTTGTCTTTAATGTTGAAGTGAGACTTCCACCAGTTTTTGACGCCAGTGTTTTTACTGCCGTGCGTCTTTATTAGACACTCTTCAGTGAACTTCTCCGTTTTTTTGCCAAGTATACGCCTTAACTTTTTGTCTCTGACTTGAGACACGTCTGACCAAAAGTCAGACACACTTCTCAGCGCATGGGTTGGGATATTAAAAGATTGGCTTCCGCAGAGCTGGGTCATGAACAAAACGTTTAGATAAGACGACGCATAGAGGAAACGTGAGCTTAAGTAAAGCAGCCGCGATCGCCCGTGTCCTCGCATGCCGTCTTCGAATGGGTTGATTTGACGGGAGGGCAGCGATCTGTCAGACTGTTGAGAAACATCGTGACTGTCGTTAAGATTGCCACATTAACGCACATCCGCAAATAAAAAGAACGGGTCATCGTGAGAGCGAGCTTTGTTCCAAAATCAAACTTGAGGAGTTAAAGAAGCCCGAATGTCAGCGGGAGGCAGTCCGAGAGGAATCAGACCGAGAGAAGTGAAATATTCTGTTTTAAATAAAAACAATCCCAGCTATCAGACTCACCCTTTGAGTTTTGAGGCGGACAAGAAAACGCTTGGAGAGAGTATCCTCAGTGAGGGACCGCGCTGTGTTTGTGACGGTACTCAAGTCCCAGAAGAGTACTAAATTTAGGTCCTGTGCAATCTTCCCATGCAGCGTCGGCGAGTGACTAACCCTTGTGAGAAGAAGAAGCAGCGCAACACTCCTCCTTCACTCTCGCTCACTACGAGACTCTCGACAGAAAAGGAAGGTACAGAGGAGCAGACGGATCACAACCCACGTGTCTGTGAACGAACAGAATCTGCACATTTATGTTGTTAAATATCTACTAACAGCTTTTATGACACCCTCTTCACTTCTCCTTCTGTCCGATTAGTCTGATCAGACTAAACGAGCCTGGAGCCCGACGCACCAGTTCTCCCGTCTGCTTGTTGAATCTAAACGAAGCCCAAAGGCTCTATTCAATTGTTTTAAAACATCTCCTCATCGACTTCTCCCCCCTCCAGCACATTTTCAGCCTTAAAATATTTGGGACGTATAAGACAAGAAAGACCAGTCGGACAAATTGAGCAAGACGGCACAAGTGAGAAGTTACGCGAAAAGGCCTCTGATAACCGACAACGAACGAGGTGGAAGGAAAGTACACAAAGATCCAATGAGCAGGCTGCTTGTCACCCCGAGCTACATGTACCTTTTGCAGAAGTCATTACGGGGAAGTGCAACTTCTGTTCTGCTTCTCCGCTGTGAGAAGAACTCCTGGCGTCTCTGACGGTCAAGTCAGCTCTTATTGCTGTAATGGACGGTGTGATACATCAACGCTGAGCCGCTGCGTGGTTACACAAAAGGACTGCCGCAGCACAGAAAGCCCTAATTTAACCGTAGCAGCTATGCTATATGGAGTAGTTCTTGTCCCCTTGCTATTTGCGGCGACGTGAGAGCTATTTGTGTGCGCCCGTTTTGCATGTGTATGTATATATTCACGCAGAATGTGTCCCTTCGCGCTCTCTCCGATGGGCCTCACATGCTCACTGAGGATTGAAAGGAATGAGGCATCCCAGTAAACCAGTTTCACCGAGAAGCAATTGCAGTCCTTAAATTCCATTTAGATAACCTGCACGTGAAAGCGGCAAATGTGGACGCTTCAAGCAATGAAAACTACACAACATCCCAGATGACTGTACAATGGTGACGCGACAACTGCCTCCTCCCGTTGGCAGAGTCTCACGCCCATTCAGGGTCGACTTGTGTCAGCGGCACGCAACCTCTGACCCTCAAACAGCTGTACAGACATGCAAGCACTACAAATCGGACTGTCCAGCAATAGTGGAAATGTAATCACAATGCAACATAGATGTTCACGCTTCTGTCTGATTTCCACCTTAAATCTTTATTTAGGTTTGACCCTGCGCTGAGGGGTTTTTGTCGGAGCTTTTGGACAGAGGACATGGCTGAACTTCACCATCAGCCAGATGTTTAGCATTGGCTTATTTATCTATTCAGTGTATTTGTCTATTTTAAGCACAATAACTCTTCCCTTTTTTCACATTTTCCTCTCCGTCACACACACACGCACACGGAGGAGGGGGGACGCAGCGAGTCAGGGATAAGTGCTGGAATGAGGTAATTGTCCTCAGCTGCATGTTGTCGAATGACTTGTGTCTCTTCCTTGTATAAGCAGCAGTGGCGATTTGGGGAAGGGGGGGGGGCAGAAGGAACACGTGTCAGGCCCGACGAGGAAAAACGCACTGTTCCTGCGAGCGTTATTGAATAAATAAAAGTGCCCGCACCCGAGAAACACCAAAGGAACCCCTGGATAACCAAGAAGTTATCACAGGTTAACGATCATTTTAAGAAAAAAGACAAACCGCATCGCACACCTCTCATTTCACTCCTATGTTCACACCGTAAAATAGTTTCAGTGAAGGGGGGCACGATGGAAATAAACCAACACATAGAAGACAGACCGAGGAGAGGAGGGGGGAAAGGATACAGTGGGGGTGACGGGAGAGGATGACACGCAAAGTGATACAAAACAGTGGAGAAACAGGAAGACACCGGGGGGACAGATGCAGCATTGGAGACACACACACACACACACACACACACACACACACACACACACACACACACACACACACACACACACACACACACACACACACACACACACACACGTGATATAACAATAGCGCAAGCAGCTTTCTTCACACTGGTGCTGCAGGGAGCTTCAACCTGCATCACATCAACCGGGGCTTAAAGTTCACTTCACTGCAGCCATGGAAGAAGTGGATCTTTTTGCCAGATATGGTTAAAAAAAAAAAAAAAAAAGGAAATATGACTGAAAGGCTTCAAATGGAAAAAAACAGACACGGAGCGCATCAAACATCAAACAAACAGCAATGTTTCAAGCGATTGAAATAAAAGCAGGGAGGCAGCAGTAACAGGGAAAGGGGGGGCAAGGGGGGTGGCGCTTACCTCTGGAGTGTTCAATTTTCACCGCCACGCAGGCCTCCTCCGCATTCTTGGACGGGAAGCAGTCAGCTTTGCTTTTCTTCTCTGCAACAACAAAACACAACTCAAGTCACCGAAAAAGCAGCAGCATGCTCGGCGTATTTACGGTTCCTGAAGCGCTCTTCTGGTCGCAGCCTTGATTGGGATCAGGGGTGGGCTTGTGTTTGTTTTGAGAACGAAGAGGAATATACATCCCCTCGGGGATGGAAACCCTAATTAGTCTGTGTGTGATATGTAGGGCACAGTCTGTAGGGAGAGCCAGTATTTTTTAATATGCACATAAAAGATTAAACAGAAAATAGCAACATAGTAAGAACAATGAAGGGCCCACGCACACAAACACACGCGCACACGCACGCAGTTTGTCTGCTCTGTCTGATCTAACACGAAGCACCCAGGCTGCAGGATGATGATCTGTAGACAACAGCTGCACGATCCGCATGTTCCGACAAATTAAAGTTGAGCGGACTTCATCCCGATTCCTTTTCTTTGCACTCACTGGGCTATAAATGACATCAAATTGATGATGACGGCTCACCAATCAACCACAACAGTCAAAAACCTGTTTCATCACCTTTCCCTGTTCTTTATAGGAAGTATTAGCCACATGTGACGCATTGTGCCCCATTGGTCCCCGTTGTGCGAGTCATTTGTGCCAGTGTCATTAGCCTCTCCTCTCCTTGCACATGCATTTGAAGGGATGATGATCATGTATTCTGATAGATTGAGGTTACTTTCACAATCAGCTGTGTATGACTAAAGCTTGAAATGACTTCCTACATGACCACAACATCTGATTACCTAACGCAAACCAATAAAGGACGGGTCACGGTAGTCCGTGCTCTCCAAACTTGAAATATTTCTTTGTCTCGTCATTCAATTGTTTACTTGTAACAATAGGCTGAGGGTGGATTTACGCACATTTTGGTATTGAATTAAAATGTGAGAACGCTGTCTCATTGTTTCCCTTAATACAGTACAGAAATATTATTTGCATTAAGTATATACAGACTATGTGAGTAGGTGTGTGTATGTGTGAGAAGGGGGGGTATAATGTCCTGGCTCAGGGCTTAAAGAAGGGCTTTCTCCACTCACCATCTGGACAGTACTGCTTGCTGTTCACACACACACACACACACACACACACACACACACACACACACACACACACACACACACACACACACACACACACACACACACACACACACACACACACACCTCAATCTGTTATATAAGTTCTCTATTCAGAATATTCTGTAACACACGTAAGCAGCTTATCAAAGGCATTACGTCCATATCAGACGCTTTTCTATTGAGACAACCCACTAAGTCAACTGTGACCCCCCCCCCCTCCCATCACCCTCCCGGTCCCCCCAACTTTGGCCACGTGACCAGAACCCCCACAGGCCCACTCTCCACAACACAGGTGACGACAAGCATGAAGGGTGTAAAGGTCAAAAGAATGTTGCTGCTGTTGAGATGTCGGAGTGGGGTCGACCTACTTCAGGAAGGGGAGACTCTCACTGGTCCACCTACCGGCCCGACCTTAAACTTCCTCTTCCTGTCCCGTCGACTTCCTGTTTTTCATATTTTATATTCTGCCTCAACTCTAAGCAGACCAACTCTCAAAAGGGAAACTGCAAGAGAATCCCAAGCACACATCAACATGCACCTCAGGCATGAGCTCGGAGGAAACGTGAAACACGGTTCACAACTAGGTCAGGTCCTGTCGCACCAACTGCACGGGAGTTAGAGGAGGTAAAAGGTATCGACGCATTTCTCTCAGGATTGTAATGACACGACTGCACCAACTGAGTTATAACCCGAGCCTGGACCTTCAAAAGGACATCCTACCCCCCCCGCTGTCTGCTGACATTCACTCTGCACTTCAACACATCTTGCGCGCTTTGAAACTCACATAAAAAAATGTGGAGTTGTGCCATTTAACATGTTACACATTATGGGCGCCGTGTGTTTAGCAGAAGCAGACGCCAGCCGGAGCAGAAACGTCTTCCCCTGCACCATATGCATAGGTAAAAAATTTTTTTTAAAAAGTACCGTAAAACACAAAAGTCAACACAATCATTTGATGCCACTAACAATCATTACAAATGCAACCAAGGTAGACAATACGTCACTATATATTTGCATTGATGATAGTTGTACGCTGCTATATTAATGCTCTGCGCCGTCTGGTTTCTTCCTATAAATACGTACCCTAGATTGCTGCGCCTGTAATCCAGATTTGGGATTAAAGTCTGGATTACAGGTATAACAATCCAAGCATGTCGTTCACCTTTCCACAAGTCACGAGTAATTACTGTAGTGGTTCCTCCACAACCGATAAAATAAGCTGAAACCAAAACCAGCGGTACTTCCCCCGATGTCCTTCAGCTGCTGTGCTGTTTACCAGAAAGAACTCTTCCTCCACGGTACCTGAGAGCACCCTGATCCAGAACCGCCGCTTTTCCTCCATCCTGGCGACCATACTGCGTTTATCCATCTCAGAACGAGGGTCTGATCAGCGACTTTACGGGGAAATAATTGAAGTCCCTTCTTCAGACGCAGGTTGCTCCGTCGCCTGGTTACTTAATGTCTGTATTTAGCCATCAAACCCTTAGAGTGCCTCTCCTGTGACTGTACCAACCGGTTCCCCTGAAACCAGAGTCACCAGGTGAGGGAGAAACTTAAGCAGGAAGGAAGGGGGGGGGCGAAATATTTGTTTAAGATGCGGATTCTGCGGTTCCTTTTAATCATTTCTATAATATTTAGTTTCGAGGGTTAGCCAGTACTCAAGGGCACAGCCGTTCCAGGGTGGGAGGAGGGGGAACACTGTAAATAAGTGCAGAGGGAAGGGGGAGAAAGGCAGGGAGAGGAACGCGTAGAGACAATGTAAATTAAGCAGCCGTAAAAGTTAATAATTAACCGTCTGCAGTCGTGCCAAACACATGTCTACTATGATGCACCACGTTATTCTTTGCTCCTGTGCAAGTGCATCCTTGCTGCATTTCCCCACATGCTAACTGTATTAGACTGAGTGCATCAACCCACCCAAAGCCCAATTATAACCTCATTTCAAGCCTCATATACTGCAGCAAAAACTAAATCAGAGAAGGGCGTCTTTCCTGTCACCATGAGAAGCAGAGGCTACCGAATGTCTAAAAAAATGCTTTTCCTGCCTAAAAGGTCCTACTAACCTCAAGCTCATTTGCATGGCAGTGGCAGATAGTGATTACTATTCAAATGTAGCTCATAAATAATGGAAAGGAAAGAACATATTAATATGCCGAGACACACCCCTTTAATCATACTGAGGTTCTTACTGGGGAAAATGTGCGTGTGTGTGTGTGTGAGCACATGTCTCAGGTTTTAATGCTCGACACAGAAGAGATTGGCTGTTGAATGAGACCAGATGCGCTCGTCTACCTTCTCTCTTGTGCCTCCATAATGGACAATTATTAAAGAGTCATGGTTTTCTGCCGGTGAGAACGACAAGGCCTCGTAGAGGTTTACGAGGTAAAACCAACCAGATGAGACCCCGGTCTGCAGCTCATGGAGTGAACATAGACTTATGATGTAGTTTTACTCTCCATTCAACATTTCAGCTCACGGATATACTATTATACAAATAATAGCAACGTATTTACAGCATATCAATGGCTTCCTCGTGAGTATTGTTTTGACCTGGAAACATGATGAACTGCTGAATGAGATGGTAATTCTTTGTGGCTTCAACAAACCCTCTCACATACCAATCCATATTTTATGGTAAAATAAACATATTGCTTATAGTGCAGCAAAAGAAGCTGCAAAAATAACATTCAAAAATGTTTGGCAAACAGCTGACTCTATATACACATCACGCACACAAGCAGCAGCACTAGCAATGTGAAGAAGTCCAATGTTCACACTTTTTGTGCCTTTTATTAACTGACAATGGAAATAGTTGGTTCGTTAGCTGCTGAATGCTTCTAAATGCTGCTGTATGTATGTATGTTCACCAGCTGGTCACTAACTTGATGATGAGACTGAATCAAGAGGTAATAGCGTAGTTAAAAGGACACTGTCATGCACAGTAGAGCTGAAGGTAACAGCACAATACGTCTACTAATACTAATTATCTGCTTCACTTTATATTTGAACCACTGTTTGTGAAAGACCAGCTTTAACTTCCTGCATACTTTTGTTTTTTCACGCCTGTAGAAAAAATGTTGAATAACCTTTGCACTATGTGGTGGATATGGTCCATCTGGTTTGTGCGTCTTGTGCAAGATTCCACCAGAAATAAATAAAGACACTTCCTCTTCCTCACGTTCCACCAACTTAAACATGTGCGTCATAAAATGTGTACATCGTGTGCACACGCTGCCTCCATCTACTGCCCGATTCCCCCAGCGCGCTCCCAACTCTGCCTCAGCGTGCAAACATAAGCTTCTAGCATGATCCGAAAACGCGCTCCGTGGCCCGTGTCTAACGAGGGCAGGACCAGTGGGAGACCGGGCGCGGCGCGATCCCCAACCTGAACGGCGGCATCCCTGTTAAGCACTCCGGCGTGAACGTGTGACGAAAGCCAAAAAAGAAAAGGAGAGAGAGAGAGAGCTGTGATCACTGTTCAGAGAAAGATGACCACGGCTGGATATCAGAAGGCAAACATTTGGCTACTTGACTGACCTATGGGCAGTTGTGAAACTGAGTTGTTAGAAGAAAACAACAACAACAACAACAGCAGCAGCAGTGTGGGGATAGTGGACTCTGGATCACTGGGAAGCGAGCAAAGGATCGATTGGTGGAAGTAGATTATGCAATAACACAGGCGGTCCAGTCATGCGCTCCTCCCCCTATTTTCTCTCTTACTTCCTCCCGGTCACCGCTTTTCTTTTCTCTGTCGGCCTCTTGTTGCGTTCTCCATCGCCTTCTTTATCCTTCTTTCACTCCCCTCTAACCCCCACCCCCCCTCCCGTGACCTGCCTGTCTACCTTGGACAACAGCTCACAGCTGCTCCCAAATGTGTCGATCAATAAGCCGTCAGGCCGATCACCACG